CCTTTCTGAAGAAGGGTCCCGACCCAAAACGTCAGCTTTCCTGCTCCTCTGATGCTGCCTGGCCTGCTGTGTTCCTCCAGCTCCACACTGTGTTATCTGAATTTTATATTGTGGTGGGCTGCATATCCTTAATGGGTAACCAAAATGGAGGAAAAAATAGTTCCCCAGCATTAGCACATGTCATTTTAAAGGACATGCATATTTGTTTTAGTATTGTAAATTTAACAGACTTTTCTCTTTGTTTTTCTGACAGATTGAATGCATCATTATCACCTCACCCTGAGAAACATGAATTAATCCTCTTTGGGGGTGAATACTTCAATGGCCAAAAGGTAATGTATTTCACTGTTTTACAATAACGCCGTTTTAGAACTCATCCTGGCATTTCACCATTGTGTTGCTAGGTCAATAAGAAAGAAAAATCTTTAGCTATATAACTCTTCACAATGCCTCGAGATGTCCCTAAGTATTCCATCGTCAAAAAAGAATGCTTGTGGTACAGTTGCATTGTAATTTAGGCAAATGTGGCAGTTTGCACGCTGTGAGGTCCTACAATCACTAATGAGATTTATGATGAAATGATCTTAATTACTGGTGTTGTTGAAGGATGAATTTTCATCCAGATATTAGATCAACTGCTGTGCCATTCTTTGAACATTTCAATGGAATGTTGAGTGTACAGCTCTTTAATGTTTCATATGAAGGATAGCACCTCAGTTTTGAATTGAGATGCGAAATTAAGCCTTTAGAGTGAAGCTTGAGTTTGCAACTTGTTGCTTCAGAGCAAAAGTACTACCTCTGAGCCATGGCAAGTGGTTTATAATGTAAGATTATATTTTTCTGGGATTGATGAGTGCAAAAATTCACAAAAGCATAAATAAGTCTTCTCAAAAAGTTTCAATATAGGTTTTTCTTAATGTCCAGTTAATTCATGCAGTCCTTCAAAGAATAGGAAACTACTGTTGTGGATAAGTCACAGTGTTGTCTATCTGCTTTGATGATGTTGTTACATTATGGAATAATTCATTGTTTGGAACACTGAGCTGTGATTTAAAATAGGATATCAGTGTCCAAAATTTGGACAGTCAACCTAAAATATGTACATATCTCCAGTTGACATCTGAAAGTTACAATTGACAGAATCTCAAAAAAAAATTCCTTTAGTCAATTCAAGGCAATTTATAGACCACCCTGCTGCTGATTAATGGAGATCCTTTTTGTATTCAGTGAAATCAGAACATATTTCACATTGGGCTTTTGAGGCACAGTGATACTAATCCTCCCTGTGATCCAGGACACTCTGGGTTCAAGTCCCTCCCGCTCCAGAGGTGTGTAATAACATCTCTGAACAGGTTGATTGGAAAATATACACTGCAAATTCCACATGTCTACAATTCTTTTGGAGAAGTATCCCAAATTAGGACTTCATCAGGTTTACACCTTTTTACCAAAAACAGGAAGACATTATTGTGTAAATAGCAGTAGATTGAAAAAGGTTGGGTGCCCTTGAACATCAGTCACTGTAAGTTAGAATGCAGGTGCAGCAAGCGGTGAAGAAGGCGAATAGTATGTTGGCAAGAGGATTTGTGTATACGCACAGGGATGTCTTGCTGCAATTGTACAAGGCATTGGTGAGACCACACCTGGAATATTGTATGACGTTTTAGTTTCACTATCTGAGGAAGGATGTTCTGGCTATGGAGGGGGTGCAGTAAAGGTTTATTTAGAGTCATAGAGTCATACAGCATGGTGAGATGGCAGGAATAACGTATGAAGGAACACTGGATTGATTAGGACTATACTCAAGTTTAGAAGAATGAGGGGGGAATCTCTTAGAAACATATGAAACTCTAACAGGACTAAACAGGGTAAATGCAGGAAGGATGTTCCTGATGACCGAGGAGTTCAAAACCAGGGATCATATTCTTGGGATATGGGATAGGCCATTTAAGACTGAAATGAGGAGAAATTTCTCTACCCAGGGAGTGGTGAGCCTATAAAATTCTCTTCCATAGAAAGCAGTCAAGGCCAAAACATTGAATGTTTTAAGAAAGGCGTTGGATATAGTTCTTGCGGCTAAAGGGCTCAAAGGGTATGGAAAGAAAGCAGGAGCAGGGCATTGAATTGGATGATCGACCATGATCACAGAAAATGACAGACCATGCTCGAAGGGGTGATGGCCTCTTCTCCTATTTTCTATGTTTACATTGTTTGAGATTTTACATACAAATTAGGAATAGGGGTAGGGCAATCAAGCCTGGAAATTGCTTTGGAGAATGTACCAATTAATGATGATTGATAGTTAATTGCAAAGCTAATCTACCTAACGAGGCAGGTGAATTCCACTTGGTAAGGAAATGTCAATTTTCCTGCTCCTCTGATGCTGCCTGGCCTGCTGTGTTCCTCCAGCTCCACATTGTGTTATCTCTGACTCCAGCATCGATAGTTCTTACTACTTCTGAGAGAATAGCTGTCACCTCTTTGAATCAAAACAGTTACAGTATGTGTACATGTTCTTTATATCTGCAAAGAACAGGGTCCATGTATTAATGTATGTACCTTCAGTTGTCAGCAATTATTCACTGATGGGTAGGATTGTCCTCATAGGAAATCCTGTGTCCTGGTCACAGGTTCTTTGGGTTCTAGCACAACTGCTGAGCTCAAGGCTGGAGCCACATCTCTGACCACATGTCGCAGGTGTTTCCGGGCCTGAGGATTGCTGGCATTCCTTTCTCAGGTTGCTTTTCCTTACTTCCTCTTGCCAGTGAGTGTTCTCATACAAGAGATTCCTTCAAGTCTGTATCTTCCGAGCAAGGGACTCGTGGCCTTGACACCTATGTTGCATTTCTTAAGGTAAGCCTTCAGGGAGCCTTTGAAGCACTTCCTTGGTCCTCCTCTTATTTGAATGCTTTCCATGAGCTGGGTGAAGATGATTTGCTTTGGCAGTTGGGACTCGGGCGTTCTAAGTACATGGCCAGCCCAGTGAAGTTGGTTTCAGTTGATTATTGCCTTGATGCTGTTGTGATTGGTTCCATCAAGAACACTGTTATTAGTTAGCCTGTCCTCCAAGCTGAAATGGAGAATCTGTCTCAAGCAGCGTTGATGGTACTTCTCCATCAATGTTAGCCTTAGATGAAAGGTGGTTCCCCAATTAGGGAAATGAGCCACGTCTGGGAGGACTTTTCCACTGAGCATAATGGAGGGACTTGCCCTGGGACATGTTGGTAAAGGACTTTAGTCTTATTGCGGTTGAGACTGAGATCAGTTCTTCAGTGTGCTTCGACTAAGATGTTAAGCAAGGCTTGAAGTTGTCATCCACAAACCGAAGTTCAACGAGCAGTGTCAATGTTGTTTTCTTCTTAGATTTCAACCAGTTGAGATTGATAAGTGTCTACAGAATGGATGGCAAAATGTCCACAACATGGAATCTTGATCTCGACAAGATAAAGAGTGGCGCTGATGAAGATTGTGAAAAGGTTGAGGGTGATGACAGATCCCAGCTTAACTCCTGTCTTGACCTCAAAAGATTCTGCTATATTGCAGTTGGTTGGATCGTTGTTGACATCTTGCCGTACAGATGGAGGATGTTGATGAATTCCTGTGGACAGCCTGTCTTTGACAAGGTCTTCCATAGCACTTATTGATTGATCTAACTAAGGTTTTTGACTTGGTCAACGAAGACCATGTAGAATGGTTTGTATTGTTCCAGGCATTTCTCTTGAAATTACTCAGCAGTGAAAATCATGGGCATTGTTCCATGGCTTGGACAGAAAGCACACTGGCTTTTTGAAGAATATTTTCCAGAGATAATAAGACTCCATGCAAGGATTCGTGCACTGATACTTCTGACAATGGAGATTAATCAGATTCTTTGGTCATGCCCACAGTTGCCTCTCTAGAAGAAGGTGGCGATGACAGTATCCATGAGAGTCGCAGCGATTTCTTCTTTGTCCCAGATTTTCAGGAACAGTTGGTAGAGATGACTGACTAAGCTCTGCTGGAACCCCATCCATTCTTCGTGTTTAATGGCACCTTTGACTTCTGCTGCGCGAGATGGAGGTCCAAGATCATTTCTGGGGAGTTGGGGATTTCCTCAAACATGTCCTTAACTATGCTTATATCATGGTCGAGTCCATTGAAGGCTGATGTTTTCTCTGCCTCCCTCAAAAGGGTTTTGTCCTTATTCTGCGCAGGTTTGAGGCCAAGGGCGTTGGGTCCACTTATTGCCTTGGTGGCACTGAAGACACCCCAGGTGTCATGATTATTGGCAAGGAGTTGCAGCTCCTTTAGCTTTTTCAGTCTACCATTGGTTCTTGATTTCCCTAGTTCTTCATTGTGACTCCGCTTTTGGTGTTTGAGTTATCTTTGCCTTGCTGATGATGTTGCTTACCAAGTACAGAGAGCTTTCCTCTTGTTGATGAGGTCTTGGGTAATGTGGTTATTTTCATCAAACCGGTTTTGGTGTTCCCTGGTCTTGGATCTGGTCGTTTCTTCACCACATGAGATGATAACTATCTTCGATTGTTTCCAGATTTCCTCCACCAAATGAACACTTTGGAGATTTTGGTGAAGTCATTGTTGAACGTTTGCTTGGCTCTTGAAACCACTCAACATTGATCTTTTTTTCTGAGCGGTTTCTTCAACTTTTGGTGGAATTTGATGGATGTAAAGGAGCAGATGACCTGATGGTCTGTCCAGCTGTCGGCTGCACTGGTCAATGCTTTGGTAATGAAGATAGGCTTTCGATCTGTAGATCAAACTATGTAGTTGATCATGTGCCAGTGCTTTGATCATGGATGCCTCCAAGAAGTCTTGCATTTGTCATCTTAGTGGAACAGTCTGTTGGTGATGATCAGCTGGTGTTCCTCACATTTTGTGAGCAAGACAATGTGGAAAATTGCCCAGGTGTGTTCTGTATACAGAAAAAACAGAACAAATCCAACCTATCCAATTACTGCCCATCAGTAAAGTGATGGGAGGTGTCATCAGCAGTACTATCAAGCAGCACCTGCTCACTGAAGCCCAATTTGGGTTCCATTAGGGCCACTCAGCTCCTGACTCATTATAGCCTTGGTTAAACACAGATAGAACAACTGAGTTTGAAGTGAGAGTGACAGCCCTTGACTTCACGTACCACATTTGAGTGAGTGTGACATTAAGGAACCCTAGCAAATCTGGAATAAATGGGAATTGGGGCAAACTCTTCACTCGTTGGAGTCATACCTGGCACATAGGAAAAGATGGTTGTGGTTGTTGGAGGTCAGTCATCTCGGTTCCAGGATGCGTCTGCAGGAGTACCTCGGGGTAGTGTTCTAGGCCCAAACGTCTTCACGTTTAGCTGCTTCATCAATGCTGTCCCACATTCAGAATTGGTGACATTTACTGATGACTGCACAATGTTCAGCACCATTTGTGACTCCTCAAATTCTGAAACAGTCCATATCCAAATGCAGCAATTTCTGGACAGTAACCAGGCTTGGGCTGACAAGTGGCAAATAACATATGCACCACACAAATGCCAGGCAATGACCATCTCTGATAAGAGATGATCTAACTACTGCCCCTTGACATTTAGTGTTGTTATCATCACTGATACCCCCCCCTCATCAACAACCTGCAGGGTTACCATTGATCACAAACTCAGCTGGACTTCCCTTATAAATACAAGAGGCCACAAGAGCGGGTCAGAGGCTAGGAATTCTGTGCAGAGTAAGTCATCGCCTCATTCCCCAAAGTCTGTCCACCTTATACAAGTCAGAAGTGTGATGTCACTAAGATGACCATTACTTTTGAACATCTTGAAGAGGGCTGCTCAGTTGTGAAGAAAGCTGCCGAAACACTATCGTATTCCTATTCCAAGTGCAAACAACTGAATCAAACTCCACCTTGTACATGTCTGTCTGGTGATAGAGACTTCCAGATCACGTAATCCTGCCTCTGTCACCTCTCTCTGAATACCGCAGGGTTTCTGTTGGAAGGGGGGTGGGGGGAGTATGAATTCCTCTGGACGCCTTGCTCGGGACATGTTTTTAATGTGGGAATGCTGTTGCATATCAGCAAGGAGATTCCTTGATGGAAGGCCGATCCAGTTCTAGTGGCAAGGAAACTTTCCCTGGGGCTTTCCCTACTGCTGCGACCTTCATTTGCCATCACAGCCATGATCAATGGAAAATTTGAGCCTTCCCGTCATCGCAAAGTGGCAATCCACAGAAAGGTTACAGCTTCAGAATGCACAGTTGCACCACACTGTGAGTCAACGGAGAATTCTAAATTGGTTATTTGCATAATTCTTAGTGCAGTCAAGATTATTTAGCAAATGTTGCAAGATAGAAAGCTTTGCCAAAATTCTTTTAGTAGTACTCAAATAATATATTATAAGCATTTGTCATAATATCTGGGCTGTACTATTTCAGTGCTCTTCTATTATCTCCCATCTTCTGCCATCCATAATTTTAGCTTCATCTGTCTTTACCCTAACTGGTACTTAGTCCCAGTCACCCATTATCCCCATGCTTGGAGACATACTGAATTTCCTGGTCCACATATGTCTGGATTTAGGCTTGTTGATCCTCATGTTCACTCGCTGCATCTTTTTTGTGACACAATTATTATCAAGTTTTCACCATCTACACCCCAGACTCTAGAATTTCCTACCTTAAAAGCCCCTTGTTTCTTTTAAGATGCTTCTTAAAACCTATCTTTTGTCCAAGCTTTTAAAGTTTTAGTCTTTGGATTGGTGTTAATATTTGTCTCCTAATATTCATGTAAAGTGTTTTGGGCTATTACGCTACATTGAAGATGTTATATAAATTTGGTTGTTGAGAATAAATTCTAGTACTAATTTTAGTTCATGATCCTTGGGCAATTTCTTAAAGGAAAGAGAAAATAAACAATGATATCTACATATCACAGATTGATTCTTCCATTTTTACTGGTGGGAGTATCTCTACACTGCATTTGTGGAGGTCAAGTCTCCTGTTCACCAATGATGTTATTTTGTGGTGCTTCCACCCTGTTGAAGTGCAATAAAGAGCAACTTTGACAACTCAAAGCTTGGCATCGATGATGAATTCCACCGTCAAGGACAACAGAATTGTATGTCACCACAGTCTAACTATATGCCTAGATAGGACCTCCTCTTCATTATCATTAAGCAGTATCAAGTTCTAGTTCAAAAGGAGTGTGGAAAAGCATAAGAAAGAACTGGACAATGTGGGAAAACACGATACTGACCTTTGAAGATTCAATAGAGGATTATATCCATGCTAGTCAAGAAATTCTGTGATCCTATAAATAGTATACTGTAGACAAAGCAAAGTGATCCCACAGACAACAGGCTCAAACCTTACTGATTTGCAATATTCTGAGATGAAAGATAGTGTGCAATTAACTAATTAAAGGGAAGATGAGGTTTCTTGTCCTCAACAGTGGTGAAGATCAGCGTGAGTAGATACGATAAAGCTAAAGTATTTGCAATCTTGCTCAACAATGTCTAGGGTGGATTATCCTCCTCTGATTCTTCCTAAGGACCATCACCACTGATGCCGATTCTTAAAGGGATAATGTTGTGTATACTTGCATGTTGCAAGTAGTTTTCTCAAACTAGAAACTTTGTGGTGAACCGCTGTTGGAAGAAAGATGAATCCTCAGGGTATTAGATTTCAATTATATAATTGTGTTGCAGTCTGAGTCATTGTTACTCACTTCTAAGAGTTCAATTTACTGTTTATGTTGCACCTTTCACAACTTGAGGCCATACCAAAATACTTTTTACGAGGAAGTACTTGCAAAATGTAGCCAATGTTGCAAGGCCTGACAAAAAGTAATTTGATTAATGACATAATTGTTTTCTGTGATTTGAAAGAAAACTGTTCTGGTCACTAAAATAGTTCTCCTGCTCTTCTTCAAATCTTGTTATATGCTTTTTAACATACAGCATGGAGGGCACCTGGAACCTCAGTTTAAGGTTTTGTCTGAAAAAATGGTATCTCCATGAGTGTAGCATAGGTGCTGCTATGTTGTATTTCTAGAACAGACCAAATTTAGTTGTGAAACTTCCAGCTGTGAGGCAAATGGATGACAGGTTAGTCAGTTGTGAAGATGTAAAGACTATATATTGATAATTTGTAAAACAGTTTGTCATGTGCTCAGGGAACGGCCAAATGGAATCTTGCTAATTGTAGCTTGACTTCCACCCTGTTGTGGCATTGCTTATGTGTTGCCTCATAGTCTGTCAGATTAATAACTAATTCTCAGTTAATCAAGTGACTGTGTCACAATGTAGCTGAGCGGGGCACAATGATATTCGTGTCCCATTGTTTAACAAGATGTCACAAAATGTATAAAATCCTATTTAGACCACCAACGTGACAGATTTGCCTGACAGACTGCCTGCTATTCAGGGCAAAAGTAATTCATACCAAGTTTTATCATTAACAGGAAATATTTGTTTCTTGGCCTACACTTATCTCCAACAAATGGCCAGAGAAAGTAAAGGATTCCCGATGTACGACTATTTGACTTAAAACCCAAAAACACACTCACTTATTACTAGAGATAACAAGGTGTAGAGCTGGACGAACACAGCAGGCCAAGCGGCATCAGAGAAGCAGGAAAGCTGACGTTTCGGGCCGAGACCCTTCTTCAGAAATGGGGGAGGGGAAGGGGATTCTGAAATAAATAGGGAGAGAGGGGGAGGCGGATAGAAAATGGATAAAGGAGAAAATAGGTGGAGAGGAGACAGACAGGTCAAAGAGGCGGGGGTGGAGTCAGTAAAGGTGAGTGTAAGTGGGGAGTTAGGGACGGGATAGGTCAGTCCAGGGAGGACGGGCAGGATGAGGCTAGTAGGTAGGAGATGGGGGTGGGGCTTGAGGTGGGAGGATAGGAAAGGTGGGAGGAAGGACAGGTTCGGGAGGCGGGGACAAGATGAACTGGTTTTGGGATGTGGTTGGGGAAGGGGAGATTTTGAAGCTTGTGAAGTCCACATTGATACCATTGGGCTGTAGGGTTCCCAAGCGAAATATGAGGTGCTGTTCCTGCAACCTTCGGGTGGCATCATTGTGGCGCTGCAGGAGGCCCAGGATGGACATGTTGTCTAAGGAATGGGAGGGGGAGTTGAAATGGTTTTCGACTGGGAGGTGCAGTTGTTTGTTGCGAACCGAGCGTAGGTGTTCCGCAAAGCGGTCGCCAAGCCTCCGCTTGGTTTCCCCGATGTAGAGGAGGCCACATCTGGAACAACGGATACAGTATACCACATTAGCAGATGTGCAGGAGAACATCTGTTTGATGTGGAAGGTCTTCTTGGGGCCTGGGATGGGGGTGAGGGGCGAGGTGTAGGGGCAGGTGTAGCACTTCCTGCGGTTGCAGGGAAAAGTGCTGGGTGTGGTGGGGCTGGAGGGGAGTGTGGAGCGGACAAGGAAGACACAGAGAGAGTGGATCCTTCGGAAAGCAGATAAGGGTGGGGAGGGAAAAATGTCTTTGGTGGTGGAGTTGGATTGCAGATGGCGGAAGTGTCGGAGCATGATGTGTTGGATATTTGTGAAGCCTCACTTATTACTAGGACAGGCAAAGACTGAAAACAAAATTCTAAGGTTAAAAGTCCAGATCTCGAAGGTGGGTTAACTTTTTCCTTGTCTCCTTTTGATTTGACCATTATGACGTACTGTTGGTTGCAAAATGATGGCTGTTCTTCATTTTGATAGTTCACCTACCTAGGTCTTTTCTTGTTAGAATTCTTTCTTTAAGCCTTCTTGGTTTTGCTGTCTTCAAGCACCCAGGCATCCCTGGACAGAGACTGATGTTTTCAGTTCACAAGCTCTGGATGTCCCTGGCTGCAATGCACCTACAGATTGGTAGCAAGCTGTAGCTTACGAAGTCAAAGGAATGTTACCAAGCAGCATTCCTTGTCAGTTTCCTGATAAATTGATTAGATTAAAATTAGTCCAAGGTATTTATCTAGATTTTTAGAAAATTAAAGAAATATGTATTTGTTAAGCTGTTCTGCATTGTCTAACATCAAAGAGCAATATATAAAAGGCTTGTTAACTTTTTCCCATTATTGCAGACTTTTCTGTACAATGAACTATATTTTTACAACATCAAGAAGAACTCGTGGACAAAACTGGAAATCCCAAATTCACCAGCTCCTCGATCTGCCCATCAGGTAAATTTGAGTGAAGGAAAGTAGAATGTGAGAGAGCTAAAGCAATTTTTATCCCTTCTGAGATTTGGCCCTTCAAGCAATAATGATGGCTAATTTATTGTCATATGTGTATGCAGTGTCAACGAATGCCAATATTTGGTCGGGTATATAACTGCCACCATCCTCCTTTTTTAATGACTAGATGTACATAGCCTATTTCTCTCTTCTCCCCGCACCCCCCCCCCCCCACCCAAGCCTGCCCAATCCACCAAACATTTTTCCCATAATTACCATTTATAGATTTGTGTATTTAATTACAATTAGCACTACGCCATCTACCCCAAGTTTCTGACTTCATAAATTCAGGTCGTCTGGAAGTTTGACCAATTTTCCAGAATGCATTCTCTTTGAATTTGGGAGATTGGTAGATAGGTCTTTAGCTTGAGGACTGTTGATCTGGAATATCTTCCGGATCTTGTGAAGTCTGAAAAGTTTCTCTGCACTAGAGGATCTTTCCTCTCTTAGATGACCTCCGTAGAGGACATAATTCCTGCTGAACCAGGCATTTGATGCATTACCTCATCTGGAGCACCTTAAATCTCCTGAATTTCCTTTGCAGAAGAACTCTTGCCTGCTGGAAGCATGTAATTATCCCACATCATTACTTGGGGAACTGCAATGATGAAACAGATTTTTTTTTTAGAATCCAGAATTTCTGAGCTAGGCAGTTTTTATGTTAACAGTGGATCTTTATACCAGATAGTTTCTTCTTGACTGCGTCCTAAATCTGTGGTTGCATCCATGGAGTCTTATTTGCCTTGGTGAGCTATAACCTCAACGGATACAATGTCAATCAGATACAAAAGAGTTCAGTCTGTGATTGAGCAACTAGTTTGGAAACAATTCTGTACGGTTAAAAAAAAAATTTCTCCAAGATGTACTGTGTCTATTTGGTCCATCTCTGAAATTAAATTATCCCGACAACATTACTTCTTTTGCCATTTTTTCCTAATGTGATTATTTATTCTTCTTTTTATTTTAAGGATTTTCAATTCTGCAATTTCTCAATGCTGCTTTACTCTTGTTCCTTTAAAAGCCTTTAATCCTGCAGAATATTATTGATGCTTTATTATCTTTGCCTAAGAGACTTCAAATCTTCTGTACAGCAATGCTGGTTTATTTTGCTTAAAATCTTGTCACTGTGCAGTTCATCATGCTTCCTTGTGTAGATCACTAAAAGATGTTGCCATGCTTTTATGGCTAAAATAGAGGTTTTCTGCCTACTTGCAAGCGAGATGGAAAATTTTCAACCTTTTGTAATCTTGGAAACAATTTCTCACCTTTTCCCCGACTTTATTAAATAAATCCTGCCGCCTTGCATATAAATCCTTTTTTCTTAACAGTTTTCCATTTATGCTTGTAATAATGCCTGTTGCCTTACAGTTTTAATAAAGATTCCTGTTTACCTTAATGGCTACCCTGAATGAATCCCAGTTTCTGCAGCCTTAATAATTTCTCCCCATCTTAGCCACAGCTTCAATTTTGGATAACCTCTTAGTGAAACCTAAATAGTTTCTTTACTTGATTTCTGAAGAAGGGTCTAGGCCCGAAACGTCAGCCTTCCTGCTCCTCTGATGCTGCTTGGCCTGCTGTGTTCATCCAGCTCTACACCTTGTTATCTTAGTTTCTTTACTTTCTGCTTTTATTAGACTTTGCTGCATAGGCTTCTAAATTTCCATTTTATTGTTTTAATTTCGGCTTGGCAACAATCCCTATGCTGCAATCTCTATGACTATTGATTTGCCTTATTGTAGCCGTGTGTTGTGGTGTCCGTCCACTATGTCAGCAACACTGACTCTCTACGGTAAGTATTTCTTTCACTTCTAGCTTTTTCAATCTGTTACTATGTACTGTTTAGTCTTTTAAACTTTTCCCCTTGTCCACCAAGAATTTCAACTCATGGAGTCTCTGACATCTGTTCACTCATTGGCTGAGCTTGAACTCTGGATCACTCCCACAGAGTGCTGGCATCCAATGCAATCTATAAACACCTCAGAGTGACTAGTGCTCCAGCTCTGTCGAGCTCTTAGTTCATGCTTATGTCTATGCTTCTCTTACCAGCTTTGAAATATTTTAAGCATTGACTGTAGACTCTCCTTTATTGATCTGGCTAGGAGGTTGAGTCTTGCTGGCTGTTCGATTGTTCAGCTCCTCCTGTTGCTGGCTGTCTGCTGAAGACACTCCTAAAGATGTAACTAGAAATTTCATTTGCTTTCATTAGAGCTAATTCTATACAGTTAAATTGGATTTCAGTTCACACTGTTGCTGATCATGTCATATGACCATGTGGCAAATGGTTGCCACCATCCTCCTTTACTGACTGGTACACAGGGCCTACTTGGCCTTAAGTGGGAGAGGAACGCCGCCAGGTAATTGGAAGGGAAAGGCTGTATCTTAAAAAAAAAAAAAATACTTTGTTACATGACAGCAACTAGGCATAAGACACATTAGTAAGGCATTATTATGAAGACTGTGAGTAAGAGAGTTGGGGCAGTCATGGAAATTACAGGCATGGATGCTTCCCGAGGCCCCAGCCCCAGCCCAACTCCTGACCCAAGTATAGAGGACCTTGCTAGAGCCCGAGACCTTGTTCTGGTAGTCTTCAACATTAAATTTTTCAGAACCATTACCTTAATAATAATGTGAGATGTTTTGCTTGTGAAAAAGCTTTAGTAATTTTTTATTTTATCTTTGTGGTTTTTTGCAGTTTTTTTATTCTTTCCTTTTAACTTGATCCCAACTAATATTTTGCAAAATATTTATGGAGACGCCTTACTTTTTCAGAAAATGCAAATGAGAATGTTTTCATTGTCTGATACACTTGGGTCTTATCATTCATCCATCAGCCAGATAAAGATCTTTTGCCTCACTTTTGGAAAAATTGGTGTCACATTATAGTATTGATAAATTCTATATTTCAGCATTGATATATTCCTTTGAAAGCTTACAGGATGAGATCAAGTTTCACTGTTGCTAGTGGAGAGTTTTGGTTGGGCTTAGATCAGGGGTTTAGAATATGACTTAATTAAATTTTAATTAATTGCGCACAGTTCTGCTTGCCACATTACCAGAGGATAAGGAGGCTTTGGAGAAAGTACAGAAAAGGTTTACCAGGAGATTGCCTGGTTTGGAGGATATTAGCAATGAGGAAAGATTGGACAAACTTGGTTTGTTTTCACTCGAGCATCAGGGGCTGAGGGGCGACTTGATAGAATTGTGAGAGTCATGGATACAATGGATAGCCGGAGTCTTTCTCCCAGAGTAGAAATGCCAGTTACGAGGGGACATAGGTTTAAGGTAAAAGGGGAAAAGTTTAAAGATATGAGAGGCAAAGATTTTACATGCGGAGTGGTAAGTGCCTGGAATGCGCTGCTGGGGGAGATGGTAGAAGCAGTTACGTTGTCGGCAGAAGGGCTTATTCCTGCTTCTGTACTGTTCTTTGGTATTCTTTTTTAAAGGAACAATGAAAGATTTATTTCACAACAGATATAAATTGTATCCGTTCATCGTAGACTGTCACTATCATATGTTGTGTTGCCATACTTTGTTCAATAATTGATAAGAATTTAGTATAACACAGGGTGTTGTGCGGGTGTTAGTGTAACATTACCTTGTTACCATGATAGGCTGTGGTGGTTCCTCAAGATGGTGGACAACTTTGGGTGTTTGGAGGAGAATTTGCATCTCCTAATGGTGAACAATTTTACCATTACAAGGACCTTTGGGTGCTGTATCTTGCAAGTAGAACATGGGAACAAATCAAGTAAGTACTATTTTGCACATTGATACACTATTAGAAAAAAAAGTTTTATTTGTTTTCCTTACTGTATTAGTGCTATACTGTTTAGAGGCCAAATCATCTAGTCTTGCCACAATTAACTTCTGACACCACTGGTGCAACACCATGCTGAACAGTAGTTCTGTGACACTTGGACTGAAAACTACCCTTTGCTTTTGTTTTTTAACTTTTCAGAATTTACGTTTTCTTATGTAGACACCACTTCGCAAATGGTTAATGGATGGTAGATCAGAGGATGCAAAAGTAAAGCTCGAAATTGTGGTTTTTCTTTAAAAAGTATTAAAGAGACTTCATGGGCTTTAAATAGTGTTGCATACAGTTTAAAGCAATCTATTTTACAGGTATCCCCAGCTTAAAGGGTCTGACATGTCACATTTTTCATGATAACACCCTTGGTAACTTAGGGACGTTTTCTAAGAGCACTGATTCCATTTCATTGTGACATGGTTTCTGAATATGCTCAGATTGCTTTAAAAAACAAACTGATGCCTTATTGTTTCCCTCTTTCACCCTCGTGTTTGCAGCCACTCCTGCTCAGTGACCATCCCGCTTCGCTACTTCCTTCCCCAACTCCCTACTCAGTGACCTTCTTGCTCTCTGATTTCCTGTTCACTGCCTCTCCCAGACCATTCCTCTTGCTACGTTGCTTCCCTCCCCATCATGCATCTGCTGTCCCAAGCCCTCACTTGGTCCCTTGGAGTGTGGTGTATGGAAATCTAGCAGGTAGACAAATTTTCCAACATGGCCATCTATATTAACAAGATTTAAAGTACTTTACAATCTTCGAAAATTGTCAAACAATTCACTTGTTTCAGTTTTTAAAGAAAATGATTTGTGATTCCACAGCACCTGCAATAAGATGTTTATATAATTCAAAAGGAATCTAGCCCACTGAAAAGCAAGAATAAATTAGTCAGTAATGATGCACCATGGGCAAATAAAGAAGAAAGTTTAAAACTGAAATTAAAATGACATGCTCTCAGTGCGCAGACAAATAAGAGACTGACAGAAATGAAAAATATGACAGTTAGAAAGATCTGTAAACAAGGTATTTAGATGTGCAGTTGCAATGCTAAGGCATAGAAGGCCATGGGCCCAGTGCTGGATGGGTGTGATGGGCCAAAGGGCCTTTTTCTGTGCTGTAGATCTCTATGACTCTAAAAATAAAGAATTAATACTTTCGCTTTGACAATTAAACTGCTTGGAAATATTAAAATCAACAATCTTTTGCATGTACATGAGTAACAATAGAAAAGTCAGGATAGGGCTGTGAAGAGATACATGTAATACACTCTCGAGTAATGACAGCGAAATAGCAGAAACGTTAAATAATTAATGTACCTTTAGTATTTACCTGGGAGATTAACATGGTGGACATTGTGAAGAAGAACGCAGAAAAGGTAAAAGAAATGTGAAGTCGAAAGGAGGGAGATAATTAATAAACCCATGAAACTCAGATAGGATAACGCAAATAAATGTCGCAAATGCTGGAGATCTGAAATAAAAATAGTAAGTGGTGGACACACTCAGCAGGTCTGACAGTATCTGTTGAGAGAGAAACAGTGGTGAAGTTTTGAGTCCAATTATTGTTCTTCCCTGGTTTCAATGGATTGCATGTGCATGTAGTAAAAGGATTTGGATAGAAAGAGCACAGAAACTCCTCTGGTTAGAGTGATGCTGAGTTAAAAGCATGATGGATTTGGTTGTTGGTGTCAATCATCACAGCCACAGGACATCACTGCAGGAATTTTTCAGGGTAGTGTCCTAGGCCCACTATCTTTGGCTGCTTTATCAATGAGCTTCTGTCTATGATAAAGTCAGATGTATGTTTGCTGATAATTCCACAGCGTTCAATATCGTTTATGACGACTCAGATACTGAAGCAATCCATGTCCAAAAGTGGCAAGGTCTGGGCAACGTTTGGGCTTGGGCCAGTAGTGGCAAATAACATTTGTGTCACAAAGAGCCACATAATGATCTTCTCCATCAAGAGAACAGCACTATCAGTATCCTGGGATAATCATTGATCAGCAACTGAACTGAACCAGTCATATAGATACTGTGTTCCAAGAAGAGGTCTGGTGAATTCTGCAGCCAGTAATTGCTGGCAAGGCCAGTTTTGATGGTATTAGTCAGGAACTTTCAAAAGTTGCTTGGGGGCTGCTGTTCACAGATAAAGGGATGTCTGGCAAGAGGGAGGCATTCAAAAGTGAGATAACAAGAGTACAGGGCCAACATGTTCCTGTTACTGTGAAGGGCAAGGCTGGCAGGAGTAGGGAATACTGAATGACTAGAGATATTGAGGCTGTGATCAAGAAAAAGGAGGAGTCTTACGTCAGATATAGACAACTGGGATCAAGTGAATTCCTTGAGTGTAGAAGTATACTCAAGGGATATCAGGAGGGCATAAAGGGGACATGAGAAAGCTTTAGCAGATAGGGTAAAGGAGAATCTAAAGAGACTGTATAAGTATAGTAAGTTGGGAGAGAATAGAGCCTGTTAAAGATCGACAAGGCCATATATGTGTGGAACCACAGGAGATGAGTGAGATCCTAAATGAATATCTGGCATCAGTATTTACTGTGGAGAAAGCCATGGAAGATAGGGAACTAGGGGAAAGAAGTAGGGATATTTTAAAAAGAGCCCGTATTACATAAGAGGAGGTGCTGGAGGTCTCAAAATGCATAAATGGCAATAAGTTCCTGAGACCTGATCAAATGTATCTCAGGATATTGTGAAGCTAGCGAAGAAATTGCAGGGCTGCTAGCAGAGATATTTGCATTATCGACATGTGAGATGCCGGAAGACACAGAGGAAATAGTGGATGCAGGTACAATTACAACATTTAAAAGACATTTGGACAAATAAATGGATGGGAAAGATCTAGAGGGATATGGGCCAAATGCAGGCAAGTGGGACTGTTCAGTTTAGGAATCCTTGTTAGCATGGACGAGTTGGGCTGAAGGGCCAGCTTTCCATGCTCTATAACTCTATTACTTCTTAATGCATGTATACTGTCTACAATGCTTAAGTCGAAAATGTGATTGCATACTCTCCAGTTGCCTGGATGAGTGCAGCTCCTACAACAGAGAAGAAGCTTAACACCGTCCAGGAAAATGCAGCCTGCTTGATGGACACTTCATCCAGTATCTTCCAAAACATTCCCTTCACAGACGCTCATTGGCAGCAATGTGTCTCATTTACAAGATATGCTGCAACATCACCAAGGCTCCTTTGACACCACCTTCCAAATCTGCAACCACGATAAATGTGGGGGGTGAGAGTGGTAGCTAACACAGGAACACTACCTCCTGCAAGTTTTCCTCCAGGCTACACATTGTTTTGAATTGGAAATATATGTTCTTTGTTCCTTTGCTATGTCTGGATCAAAATCCAGAAACTCCTTTCCAAACAGCACTGTCGGTGACCCTGCACACTAAGGACAACAGCAGTTCAAGAAAGCAGCTCACCACCACCTTCTGAAGGGCAGTTAGGGACAGGCTAGTAAATGTTGGCTTAGCTAGTGATACCCACACTCTATGAATGAGTTTACAAATAAGTCATCTTGTGTAAAATTGAAGTTCTTTATTAATAATTTGGAAAATAAAATGAAGATTTATAGTTCATAAATCAAAGTCCTTTACAAACCTGATTTCTGGTTCTTTTATGGCTGTTGACTAACCATCCCCACCAGGGAAGGAGCCCAAGGAATAATTAATAGAGTGCAAATAAAAGACTCACCTGTAACAGTCACTCCTCCCTATCATTGGTTCTCCTTCTAAGAAGGTGCAGAAGTTGAATCATTTACTCAGTTGAATGTTCTTGTGACTGAGTAGACAAACATGCCTGTAAATGCTTGGGCATTAGAAAGAATCTACTCATGTTCTTTTTGTATGTCAAACTGTGACCTGACATGGGGAAGTCATCTGTTCAGGTCACAATAGGGAGCTAATGGCAGAACATTCTATTGGCAGAGATTGTTGCTGTCTTGTGGCTGTGCAGCAGAAAAGTACTGTTTCTGATACTGAAATCTCGCTATCATCACTTATGAAGTTTTTTTGCTGTTCTTTAGATTGATTTGCGCATTGTGGGGAGCAATATAAATTTGGTTGCACCCTTGCGAAGCAACAGAAGTACATCTTCTATTATTGAGGTATTGAATGATATTGAAGTGCCAGTTATCTGTGCAATGAAGTCTTCTATAACCATGACAAAAATGTGGAACTCTGTCACATAGTCTGCAGACAGCATTGGTCCTTTCTATGGAGCTTGGTTGCATGTGTGAGGAAGTAGGACATAGAGGGATCCAAACTTAAGGTGGGAATGTGGGAGCAGGTTCATGTGGACTATTTATACTAACATTGCGGAGTTAACCTTCATGACCTGTTTCTGAGCTGCTGATTCTATATAATCTAAATAAATTTATGCACAATATTGTAAACCCCAAAAAAAAGTTGTCCAGGTTCTGCTGATTTGGTTTTGTAGATACAAATTTACTATTTTTCAGTACAAAATGCTTTATAAATTCCAAATTGTCACATTTCCATACATTTTTAGATAAGTCTGTCTGGGAGTCAGAATCACAGATGTGGATTCTAAAAAACTACCTATTGTAAATTTCTTAAGTCCTTGATCAAGTTACTTCCATCTAGACTTGAATCAGTGCAGTACCAACCCCAGAACGTCTGTTACAAAAACTGAAATTGCTGGAGAAACTGAGCAGGGCTGGCAGCGTCTGTGGGAAGAAAGCAGAGTTAACATTTCGAGTCTGGTGAAACCTTATCGACCTGCTGAGTTTCTCCAACAATTTCTGTTTTTGTTTCAGATCTCCAGTGTACGCAGTTCTTTGTTTTATTATAGCAGCACATCTGCATTGCTGTGAGCCTGTTCAAATATTTGAATTACCCTCAGTCCGAGGTTGCTTAGAGAGTCTTTCATTGGAACAAGTTCAGGTCTCTGAAAGG